AATACCATACTAGTGGCTGTGGGTCAGTCACAAGTACCATACTAGTGGCTGTGGGTCAGTCACAAATACCATACTAGTGGCTGGGGGTCAGTCACAAATACTATACTAGAGGGTGTGGGTCAGTCACGAATACCATACTAGTGGCTGTGGGTCAGTCACGAATACCATACAAGTGGCTGTCGGTCAGTCACAAATACCATACTAGAGGGTGTGGGTCAGTCACAAATACCATATTAGAGGGTGTGGGTCAGTCACAAATACCATACTAGTGGCTGTGGGTCAGTCACAAATACCATACTAGTGGGTGTGGGTCAGTCACAAATACCATACTAGTGGGTGTGGGTCAGTCACAAATACTATACTAGAGGGTGTGGGTCAGTCACAAATATTATACTAGAGTCCGTGAGTCCACCACAAATACCATACTAGTAGCACTCTATTTGTGGTTCGTTGCAGTGCCATCATGGAGATGGAATGTATTATCTTTACACTACAAAGCAATATTACTGATCTGGATAAAAAAAGTGTTACTGGATGTTACTTGGCTGTTAGTGTCTTCACTTGGATATAAAAGGTGTTACTGGATATTAGTTGGTTGTTCTTTACAAATTGTTTTCCTGCAGTTTTAATTTTCTGATATGCTAAATACATGACTAACATGTTTTTTTTCTGTTTTTTTACTTTTAACAGTAACATCTCACGTTTTAGATGCGAGTTCCCTAAACCGTAAATAAGCTCAACATAATACCTTATATTAAATGGCCATTTTTCTACAAGTAGAAGTGGTTGAAATGGACGCATGTACATATCTTTTTCATAGATTAAAAACTTTGTTTCTGCTGCAGAAACTGAAGGAATCCATTTACACTTGGTGAGTGAGCTCATCTTGAGGAACGTAAAACTATTGGGTATACGTGTCGTAACATTAATTCACAGGAATCCATTTTGGTATGTCTAGTGTAGGAAATTGTGAGCTCAAAGTTTCATCTTCATCATAGTTTATTGCCTCAAGCTTAACAGCTGTTTCAGACTTGGTTAAGTTAATGGATTTGTGACTGTGAAGAATGTCTTGGTTGGTTGGTAAATAATGCCCAAAGAAATAGAAATACTCAAGAAGTATGCGAGAAATACAGTTTTTCTAAATCCTTATGCAATGTGTTTGTTGTTTTTTCAATTTAATTATAAAGTTTAGCTGGAAAACAAAATTCAAACTTGTTCATTGTCTGGTCTAATATGAACATTAAACATAAGTTATTGAAGTATTTGAAAGAAAACTTCTTTTCCATCACTCACAAGGAATGTCGTCATGGTTTTTGTCTGAGTTATGTAACTCTTGATAAACATGCTATAAAAATGTAGTAAAGATGTTTTCTCTGTATTATATAAAGAGCTCAGAATTCATAAATCATTATTTTAGATTTATACATTGTTTTTGCTGGTTATTTATCTTTTGTAAAAAATTACTGACACATCTTACATTGTAAACCTAAATGATTATGTGAATTAGTTGATGCCGTTTCAAAGTGTCGTACCTACCGAGGGAGACGTGCTTAAACCATTTTACAAAATGTAACTTGATAGTAATGGTAGAGGTTGGCGCTAAGATAGATCTCTGAATTTTAAGCTGTGAGTGCGTTATAATAGTGACAGTCAATTCCTTAGTGTGAGTGGTCGGGTGATGTTGCCCGACTGCCTTTTCTTTGGTCAGTAGTTCAGTGTTAGGAATGGCAACAGATAACCCTAATAAGTTTGCCATAAATATAAAATACAAATTTTATTCCAAAAGGACGTTATAATAGTGACAGTCAGTTCCTTAGTGTGAGTGGTCGGGTGATGTTGCCTGACTGACATAAATATAAAATACAAATTTGACAAAAGATATCAACTTCTTTTTATATTCCCTTTAATTATATTTTTTTTTTTTTGTCATTTTCTAATCACTTAAATTATTTTTTACAACATTGTTCTTTAGGGCAGTTGTTAGGGTTTCTCACACTATTACTATCTCTTCTGTTTAATAAAGGACTTTTAAAATGTTAAATATAGGCTCACTTAACAGTCACTTATTACATAGTTAAATAAAGATTTCTCATTTACTCCATAAAGCTATGTGTCATAAATAAATCAATTACTTTATGCACTGCTTGTAACTATCTGTTTCTTGTTTCTGAACTTTCTGATACGATAACACATTTAGTTGGATATTTTTTGGGGAAATATGTAAAAACCCGCAAGGTTTGGGTACTAGTTTAAGTAATAAGCTAAGGCTTATTTGATTATGAAAGAATGTTATGATAATATGATAACAGGTAGGCAACAGTGATTTATAACATAAGGAAGAGTTTTATATATGGTGGAACATACTACGTGTTTCGACCTGTCTTCTTCGGGTAAGGTTTAAGGAATTGTTTTGTCACATGTACTGAACTATTAACAATTATGCCATAAATCACAAATCGATTCCACCTTTTTTGATGAAACTTTTAAATTTACATGCTTAAGAAACACAAATACAAATAATTTATTTTTAATGCAGGTTTAGTGAGTATATATATGTAAAATAGTATTAATTAGGGTTAACTGGTGATGATAAATGGTTGTTACTGTAAGATGCTATTTTTGTTAACAGAAGGTCTTCCTCAAGTAGTGACAGCACAAACAAGGTGAAAAATCCTCCACAAAACAGCAAAAAAACCATTGCTGCAACACTGTACAATCCACGCTACCTTTGGATACGACTTGCTTTATTCAACAAGCTTTTAGCTATGATTGTGGATCACTTGGTGAAGAACAGCAGGTAAGGTTGTTTTTGTTTGCTTCGCGGATGAAACTACGCGTGGTTTCACTGCACTGTATTTGCTGTGGAAGCCTCACATTACATCATAAGCTGAATACCGGGCCTCTGGAACGCTAGTTGCTGGATACACGTAAGAAACGAGAGTATTCGTGATGTTAAATTTGCGTGAAAAAAGTAATGATGAGGAATGCATAAATTATGAGCATCTTGCTTCTTACTTTAATTAATTCTCAGTAACTCAGATCAAGTAGAATCTTTATAAATAGTTAAATCAAAGTTTTAGTTCAAATCTTTTTTGTTTCTAGTTAAGCATAAAGCTATAATGGACTATCGGTGCTGTGCCCACCACAGGTATCAAAACTCCAGTTTTTAGTGTAATAAGCCTTCAGACTTACTGCTATGCCCTGGGTGGCTAATCCAAATCTACATAACTGGAGGAAACATTTCTGAAGGAGATTTTAAAATATTTATCAGCAGTTTTCATTAACTTGATGGTTTTTGCTCAATATCTTCATTCAGCAGTTGACGAAGTATTTGATGATGAAACTTTCTCCTTTTCTTTATTTCCAGTAAATACTATGAGAAGGAGGCACTTGTTGCTGACCCTGTTTCTGGACAGATCTTAGCTTCCTTATTAGGTAAGTTTGACATTTACTGATGAGAAGGAGGCACTTGTTGCTGACCCTGTTTCTGGACAGATCTTAACTTCCTTGTTAGGTAAGATTTACTGAAAACAGGAAGCTTTATGCAACTGGATTTATGCTGTTATTTATATTTAATTTTTGTCTAAAATTCTCGGAAATAAATTAAACTGTCAACCACACTTTATTTTATTTGATGTAAAACAACAAAAATTTCTAATTTTATCTCTAGTCAACTTTGGTAAGCAAGTTGTAACATTAGAGAAAAATAAACGTGCGTCTCAGTTTATTATAGACACGCGTACATCTGATGTTGTTGCTTTGTTTGCAGTTGGGCCTTGTGCTCTCGACTATTCCAAAATGAAAACTCAGGACCATTTTTGGACAGATCCACGTGCAGATGAACTTGTACAAAGACATCGGTTGTCGAGTGGACTTCCTCTTGTTAATGGTTCCAGCACACCTCCATCTAATCGTCGACCAGGGCTTCAAGTTAGTACGTCTTTCTTTAGCCTAACGTCTGTAGGAAAGTCGGAAGAGATCAGTTAGCATGGTTTGTAAAACCTACCTGATTTTCAAGGTAAAGAAAGAGATCTGAAGTGGAAACAAGGAATTGTGCAATGAAAAATTTTTCAGGGAAATGTTACAGCAATCACTGGCTTTTACTTAATTGAGATTATGAACATAGAGCTTGAGTTCAGTAAGAAATTATGTGTAGTGTAATATTGTTTCAGTGTGTGTAGTGTAATATTGTTTCAGTGTGTATGTGTAATATTGTTTCAGTGTGTGTGTGTAATATTGTTTAAGTGTGTGTGTGTAGTGTAATATTGTTTCAGTGTGTGTGTGTAGTGTAATATTGTTTCAGTGTGTATGTGTAATATTGTTTAAGTGTGTGTGTGTAGTGTAATATTGTTTCAGTGTGTGTAGTGTAATATTGTTTCAGTGTGTGTGTGTGTAATATTGTTTCAGTGTGTGTGTATGTGTGTAGTGTAATATTGTTTCAGTGTGTGTGTGTAGTGTAATATTGTTTCAGTGTGTGTGTGTGTGTAGTGTAATATTGTTTCAGTGTGTGTGTGTGTAGTGTAATATTGTTTCAGTGTGTGTGTGTGTGTGTGTAGTGTAATATTGTTTCAGTGTGTGTGTGTGTGTAGTGTAATATTGTTTCAGTGTGTATGTGTGTGTGTAGTGTAATATTGTTTCAGTGTGTGTGTGTGTGGTGTAATATTGTTTCAGTGTGTGTGTGTGTTAACATGTCCCTTGAAACTAACTTTGCATTTCTAAAGCTATTTTTTATGTTATTATTTGAACTTCAGTATTAACTATACATGGCTGTCTTTTAATGTTTATTTGTACAGTACCGAAAAGATGCCAGAACATCGGGTAGTTCAGAGAGTGAACATCGGGCTATTCCGTACGTTGCCAGAGATTACGTGGAGTCTCTTCATCAAAACTCACGATCCACACTCCTCTATGGAAAAAATAATGTTTTAGTGCAACCAGTATGTTGATGTGTGAGAACCACATATTTGATAATATATATTTATATATATATTTAATATATATTAATATATATATTTATTTATATTTTATAAACTCAACAATGTACTTTAATTTCTAATTAATTTCTAAACATGTTGATGACATGTTTTTATATTAGATATTAAGGAATGATCTTGCTAGTTACTCTGTTGATGACATGTTTTTATATTAGATATTAAGGAATGATCTTGCCAGTTACTCTGTTGATGACATGTTTTTATATTAGATATTAAGGAATGATCTTGCCAGTTACTGTGTTGATGACATGTTTTTATATTAGATATTAAGGAATGATCTTGCCAGTTACTCTGTTGATGACATGTTTTTATATTAGATATTAAGGAATGATCTTGCC